TCCATATTTAAAACAAAAAAAAAAAAAAAAAAAAAAAATTATAGTATACATTGATATGCATTTGAATATATTTTTAATTATACGATTTTTGAAAGATGTTCTAATTTATAAAAAAGAATATATATCTAAATATTTTATAATGTAATTCATATATATGTTTCTATTTTTATTACTCTATAATTTTTTCTTATTTTAAGTTTGATTTAATATTTTTAAGGAATTTTATGTACATTCAAAAATTTCTGTATACTTATAATTACTAAAAAAATTAATTAATCATTTTTCTTTATTTCTATATTTATAAATATATTAAAACATTTCTATGTGTATATAAATATATAAAAACATTAATGAGTTTATTATAATATTTTATTTATCTATTTATACTCTAAGAATTTTTTATCCTTAAAATTTTTGAACCTAAAATGTATATATAAAAAGTGATTTTTAAAATAGAAATTTCAATAATTTTTTCTTTAAATTTTTTTTTTTTTAGTTATGTGTTTAAAAAAAAAAAAAAAAAAATTATATTAATTTTTATTAAAGAAAATTTATTTTCGAAAATATTTAACAGAAAAAATTGGGAAAAAAAATTATAATGTTATTTTGTAATAGTGAAGATGTATAACATATTAATAAAAAGAATTAAAATTCATTCAAATAAAATTTATTATGATCAAAGAATAGCGCAAATGTAATTAAAATAAGTTATTTTTAATTTTATTATTTTTTTTTTTTTAATATATTCCTTCAATAGTGTATAAAATTTCTTTTTTTTTTTAAATATGAAAGTATAAAAAAGTAAAAGTAGATATTTAATTATGTTAATATTTAAATATAAAGTAACTAAATTATTTGATAGAAGACTAAATAATATTTCTGTTTTTATAATAAAAAAAAAAAATGTATCTTATGACACTTTAGCTGGTATTCCATGGATGAGCCATAGTAGAATTACGAAGATTTTTGAGAGGGTTTCTGATGAAGGTCCATTTGATAAAATTACATGGGAGAAATTAAGCGAAAGAGCAAATAAAATTTATAATAGTTTTGACATAAAAGAAATTGGAAGAATATTATATGCTTATTCTAAAGTAAAATATAGAGATGCTAAAATAATTTACAAACTTACAGAAAAAATAAAAAACAAAGAAATACATAAAATTGACCTATTAGGTTGTGCTCATATCTGTCATGCATTAAATAACTTAAATTATTTTGATAGGAAATTATTTGAATTAATATTTTCTAAGATAATGAAATTAGAAATAAATAATAATTCTTTTCCTGTTATTATAACCCTAAATGCTTATACAAAACATTGTAATGATTATTTATTTCGAGAAATGTCATTAAAGTTGTTAATTTATTTTTTAGAAAATTTTCATAAATATAAAAATTCATGCTCACCTCAGGGTTTAGCTATGTTATTAAATTCATTTTCTCAAGTAGTAAAACCATCACCTGACTTTTTGAAAAATCAAAACGAACAATTGAAAAAAATATGTATAGATGAAAATAAAAAATTAGATTACACTTTTTTTAGAAAAAAAGGAAATATAATTAATATTATTCATGAAAATAAAAAAAATAACAGTGAAAATAATATAGAACAATGTTTACTTGATAATTCCGAAAATAAGAACTATGAAAATGATATAGATAATAAGCATAATGAATTATATCAGGATGAAATTAATGTTAGAATATTTGCTGAAAGAAATAAAGATAAAAATGATGAAAATAATTTTAATGATTATATAAATAATCATATATATAATGAAAGTAAAATTATTGAAAATGATACAGAAGAAAAAAGTGACAAATTTTTGGGAAAATCAATTGGAGAAAATTTTAAAAATATTCTAGATGTGGAAAATGTAAAAAAAAATGCAGAAACTATTAAAGATGATATATTGAAAGGCTTAAATATAGTAAAGGAATATGATGAAGAAATTATTATTAAAAATAATAAAGAATTATTAAACAAATTCTTCTTAATGTTATTATTACAAATAACAAAAAATATTAAAAAAATGAATACACAATCTTTATCATTAGTTATTAATTCATGTTCTAGAATTTCTTTTGAAGTACCCGATGAATTTTTAAAAATAATTAATGAAGAAACCAATGCGAAAATCCAATTTGCAACAATTAGACATTTATCTCTAATAATAAATGGATATATAAAATTAAATATTAAAAATCCAGTATTTTTATCAAATATTTTCACAGAAATTGAAAAAAAAGTACTTTCGTGTGATGAACAACAATTAAGTTTTATACTAAGTAGTATGGTTAAATTAAACAATAAAAATGAAAATTTAATAAAAAATTTAAATACTAAATTTATTTTAAATATAAGAAAAATGAATATTTCAACATTATGTAATATCTTATATTATTACACAAAATTAAATATTTGTAATGAAGACATATTTAACTTGTATCAAATATATTTAAAAAAACTGATTGATACTGCTAATTTGCATCATCTCTCTTTGTCGTCTTATATATTTTCTAAAAATAAAATTAACAATGAAATTATTTTTTTGATTTTAAATAAAGCAGTAGAAATATTAAATAACAAAATTACATATAATGAGAAAACTGTCAAAGATATTTTAATTTTGATTAATAGTTTTAGTGAATTAGATATATATTCAGAAATGTTAGCAAAACATTTATATTATATTATTTATATAAATGAAACGAAAATTGATGATTCTGATAAAAAATATAAATTAGAGAAATTGATAAACAATATTAAATGGTTAAATGAAGAAACTCAAAATAAAATTATAAATAAAAATATATATTTATCACCAAAAACATTGTCTTTATATAAAGATTATATTCAAAAATAAATAGAAATAACAAAAAAAAAAATTAATATATATGAATAATAAATCTTATTTTATTATATATATATATCAGTAAAATAGAATATGAATATATAATAATTATATATATCAGTAAAATAGAATATCAATATATAATAATTATATATATCAGTAAAATAGAATATCAATATATAATAATTATATATGTATATATATATATATATATATATAGTTATAAATTATTATATGATATTTTTATATTATAAATTTTAAAATATTCTCATATAAAAATAAAATTATAATAAATTTTTTAAGTTAAATAGAAATAATTAATATATTTCATAAATGTAGACTTTTTATCCTTATTCGAAATTTATTCATGTTAAAAAATAATATTACTACTTAATTCTTCTTCATATTTGTAGTTATATAATGGTGGTATTATTAAAAAAAAAAGAAGTTTTTGTATATTTGTATCAGATATATCAGGATATTCATCCTGCTTCCAATATGTTGCCTTTTTAATTAAGTTATATGTCTGTATTTTTTTGTCAACAAAATGAAATTCTTCAATTTTATTTTCGTTAGTTTCATTATTATGTAACATAGATAAATATGTTTTTGTTTTAAAAAAGGAATAAATAACACTATTACCAATAAATAATCTTCCCCTAAAATGAACTAATAATTTTTGAAAATTTTCCCTTCTTTGTTCAGAAAATTTTGAGTAACTTGATTCATTTTCTATTTCTTTTTTAATTTTAATTTTTTTATTTATATTTAAGCAGTTTTCATTATCTTCTAATTTTCGTTTATTTGAGTGAATACATTTATTAATATTTTCAACATTTAACGAATAAATATCATAATAATCATAATTATAAGCATACTTTGTTATTATGTCTTTCCCATCTTCACTTTTATATGGTATAAAGAAAATATCTGCATTTATTTTCCCATTTTTTTTTATATGAAAAGAGAAAATATTTGTTTCTAAATTAAAATTGATCTTTTCTTCATTTGTATATTTATCAATTATACTGTTTTCATCATTTCCTTTTTTTGTATATATATTTTCACTGCTTTCACTTTTAATATTTAATTCTTCCTTTTTATTTTCCTTATCGTTTTTAATTAAATGAGAAGTTATTATTTTTTCAATTGTTTCTGGTAATTTATCTTCTGTGTTTTTTAAAATATTGTTTAAGAGTTTTTCTTCTTCTTCAGTATCTTCACAGAAGAAAGAATTCATTTTTGATATTTAAAAATGTAGCTTTTTTTTTTTTTTTTTTTTTTTTTTTTTTTTTTTTCTTTTTTATTTATTTATATAACGACATATTAAAGTTGTAATACGTATATTTAGATATATACCATTATTCATTTATAATGTAAAATGATTAAATAATATTTAAAAGAATCCATTAATACGAACATACATTTATGTCTATTTTACTTTTAATTCAATTTTTTTTTTTTTTTTTATGAATTATATATTTTATATATGGTACATATAATTTTTTATATCCTTAGAGAATTTTTTAAAATATATTTATGTCTTTTTTATTATTTTTTATGCAATATATAAAAAAAGAACATACTAAAAAAAAAAAAAAAATAAAGAAATAAATATTTTTAAAAGAAAATATAGACATTAATGAATTTTTTTTTCACATATATGCCATAGAAAATAATGAAGTACCTGTGTAAATTTTATTTATTTCCTCTTTTAATAAATTATAAAATATATATATATATATATAATTTCCTTTTAATAAATAATATTTAAAGATTATTTAATTCAAAAAAAAAAAAAAAAAAAAAATTATATTTTGAAAAAAAGAATATAAACAATTTGGTATAATTTTTTTTTTTTAATATAGAAAAATTTCCCTTCTAAATAACAAAAAAACAAATAAAATAAAAAGGATAATATGAATTATTTCTTTTTTTCTAGGAGTTACTATTATTTTTATTTATTTTTTTTTTTTGCATTTTCTATGCAAAAAAATTTAGTTTCACGTCTTTATATCAAATTGTTTGTAATATTGTGTAAAATATGCTTCATTTTTTTTCTATTTATTTCGTTTATTCAAATTGTTACTTTCATTTTCATAAAATGCTTTAAGAAACTATATTAAAATTTAAAAAAAACATATGAAAAAAAAAAAAAAAAAATAGAAGAATGTACATAATTATAGATATTTACCAAAAAAAAAAAAAAATACTTATGTAATTTTTATCTATAAAAATTTTTATTTTTTCTATGGCCAATAATATTAATTTTCTTTATATATGAAATATCATATATTCTAATTGAATTTTTTTTTTTTCTTTTCAATTTGAATATTCTATTAAGAATAATTATATAAAACTATGTTTTAACTTTACTTCTATTATTATATGTATTCATTTTTATGAATAAATTTAAAATAGTATAAATATTGTATATTTTATAATCAAAATTTTTTGTTTTTTTTTTTTTTTTTTTTTTTTTTTTTTATAGTTATAAAAAATTATTTGATTTATAATTTTAAATAATAAAAAAGAAAAATCATATAATTGTTCAAAAGTAAATTTTAAAATTTGTTAAAAAGATTAAAAAAAAAAAAAAAAAAAAATTCAAATTATTAAAAAAAAAAAAAAATATATATATATATAAAAAGAAGAAAAATATTATTTTAAAAAAAAAAAAATAATAATAATAAAAAGAAAAGAAGTAATATATAAATATAAAGAGGGAAAAACAAGGTTTCTATGATAAGAAATGTCTATAGCTAAGAAAAGATTAGCTCAAGAAAGAGCAGAATGGAGAAAAGATCATCCTGCTGGTTTTTCAGCTAAATATAGTCCTATGAGTGATGGTAAGGGTTTAGATATAATGAAATGGATATGTAAAATACCAGGAAAAAAGGTATAAACATAATATAATTTTATATATATATATATATATATATATATATATATATATATATATATTTTCTTTTATATATATATTTTCTTTTATATATATAGGGAGGTTTATGGGAAGGAGGAGAATATCCTTTAACCATGGAATTTACAGAAGATTATCCAAGTAAACCACCTAAATGTAAATTTACTACTGTTCTTTTTCATCCTAATATATATCCATCTGGTAATAATAAAATAATTTCTTTCAATATACATTACATTTATTTTCCTATATTATTTTATTATTATTTTTTCTTTTTTTTTTTTTTTTTATTATTAGGCACAGTATGCTTATCTATATTAAATGAAGATGAAGACTGGAAACCATCAATAACAATTAAACAAATTCTTTTAGGAATTCAAGTAATTGTTTCATATTTTTATTTCTATCTTATTTTTTTTTTTTTTTTATAATAAAATAAAAATATATTGTAATAATCATAATTTTATTTTTATTTTTACAGGATTTATTAGATAACCCTAATCCCAATTCACCTGCACAAGCAGAACCTTTTCTTTTATATCAACAAGATAGAGAATCTTATGAAAAAAAAGTAAAAAAGCAAGCATTAGAATTTAGACCAAAAGACTAATATAATTAAAGGAATAAATAAAATAGAATTTAATAGAACCTGATAAAATAAAGAAACAGATAATAAAATAGATAATAATATAATTCAAGAAAAAATAATATATTATAATTAGACAGAACAAGGTAAATGCGACAAAAATTAATAAAATGTAACTACAATTTAAAAAATATCTTTAGGAAAAAATTAGTAAAAAATTAGTAAAAAATTATATTATTTGTTTTTATAGATAGTATATAAAAAATTTTATAAAAAAAGAAAAAAAAATGTATATCTTTAAATATATTTTTATTAACTTTTTAATTTTATAGTAATTATATGTTCATTCATATATATGTTATTTTGTATTATGTTTACAAGAAATATATATAATTTATTTTAATTTATTTTTTTTTTTTTTTATTGTTATTCTTATTTTTTTTACTTATATATATATATTCATTTTCATATATTCCCTTTTTCTTTTTTTTCATAAGTTTACGTTAAAAAAATAAAATCTATATAGATTTCACTTTTTATATTTTTTATTTTTATTTAAATGTGTTATTTTTTAAAAAAATATGGCAATATTATATTTTTTAAATTATGGTATCTTATTAAAGTGTATATATATATACTAATATATTTCTCGATTTTGTAAAGATAAATATACATATATATGTTTTACAAAAATACATATACTAAAAAAAAAAAAAAATAAAATAAAGAACCTAAAATTAAATAATTTTTAATTTTAATAAAAGATTTTAATAAATACATTTATATATTTTATGCTCTTTTTTTACTCTTTTTTTTTTTTTTTTTTATAATTATATCCTTCTTTGTTTTTTAATAAAAACTTTAAAAACATTTTTAAATGTAAAAAAAATATATTTAGAAGTGAAAAAATATTACTAAGTTATTTTAAATATTAAGTAAAAACTAAGTAGTCTTTTCTTTCTAATATATAGAAGAGTAGAAGAGAAACATTAATAATAATAATTTCCATATTTGAAGCAATATTAGTGAAAATTAAATATTTCAAAGTAAATCTTTTTAAAAATTATACAAAATTTTTTGTTACATTCATATTTATAAAAATTCTTATAAATCTATAGAATATATTAAAAGATAAAGTTATATATCTTTAATGTATCATATTTTTAAGAAAAGGGAATCATATATAATTTTCTTTTTTTTTTTTTTTTTTTTTTTTTTTTTTGGTTTTTCGTATAAAGCTCTTAGTTCTTTATTTTATCCTCCTTATTTTTATTTTATATTTTTTTTTTTTCTTTTTTATAATATTCCTTTTTAAAAAATTAAAAATATATTTTTTCTATTTTTGTCGGAATGTACACGATTTTTTTAAAGATAATCCTTAAAATTAATTTTTTGTATTTTATTATTTACAGTTATTAAAATGTTTTTCCATAGTTAAAAGGAATATATATTTTTTTTTTTTGTATTAATTTTTTTTTTATTAATTAACTTTAAAAAAATTCCTCATTTATATATATAAACTTAAATATATGTACTAAATTTGTTTTAAAAATATTTTGTAAAATTTAAAAAATATATATATTTTTTTTTTTTATTTTATTTATTTATATATTAATATTTTATTATTTTTTTTTTTTTTTTTTGTATATTTATAAAAATGTTAATAAAAAGTGGAAAAAATGGAATTAGTAATTTAATAAGAAAAATTAGAAATTTTCAAGAAAATAAATGGAATAATGAAATAAAAAAAATTAATAGTAAGAACAAAGAAAAAGTAGTAATTTTAGGTTCAGGATGGGGTGGTATGCATTTTCTAATAAATATTGACTTCAAAAAATATGATGTAACTTTAATTTCTCCAAGAAATTATTTTACCTTTACTCCGTTATTACCATGCTTATGTAGTGGAACACTAAGTATAAATGTATGTACAGAAAGTGTAAGAAATTTTTTAAAAAAAAATGGTTCTGTAGGTAATTACTTACAGTTAGAATGTACTGATATAATTTATAAAGATAATTATATAACTTGTAAAGATAATGACAATAATGAAATGAAGATAAATTATGATTATCTAATAATAGCTGTAGGTGCTAAAACTAATTCATTTAATATTAAAGGGGTAGATAAGTTCGCTTTTTATGTTAAAGATATAGATGATGTTTTGAAAATAAGAAGAAAGTTTTTTGAAAATTTAGAAAAAAGTACTTTACCAAATACAACAAATGAAGAAAAAAAAAATCTTCTTCATATAGTTATTGTAGGTGGAGGACCAACTGGAGTAGAAGTAGCAGGAGAATTTGCTGATTTTGTTAATAGAGAAGTTAAACAAAATTATGAGGATATTTTTAATTTTATATCTATTAGTATTATTGAAGGAGGGAAAAATTTACTTCCAACATTTACTCAAAATATATCTGATTTTACAAAGTATAATTTTCGAAATTTAAATATAAATGTACTTACCAATTATTATGTAACAGAGGTTAATGAAAATTATTTTTATATTCAATCGAGTATAGATAAAAGTGATAAAAAGAAATTTCCTTATGGAGTTCTTATTTGGGCTAGCGGATTAGCACAAACTACTCTTGTTAATAATTTATTAAAAAAAATACCTCAACAGGTTAATAACAAAATATTAAATGTGGATTCCCAGTTAAAAGTTATAGGAGTAGAATCTAATAATGTTTATGCAATTGGAGATTGTAAGAAAATATTTCCATTACAATTACAAAAATATACAAGTGAACTTATTGATTCCTTACATTGTTCAAAATTAACATCTGATACATTAAAATCAAAATCAGAGGAATTATCAGAGGTATTTCCTCAAGCAAGTAAATATAAATGGGATTATGATAAAAATAAAAAAGGAGAAATGAATGAACAAGAATTTCATGAATATTTATGTAAAATGGATGAAAACTATAAATCACCAGCACCTACAGCTCAAAATGCAAAACAAGAAGCATATTATTTGTCAAATGTATTTAACAACTTTCTAACAAGAGATAAAAAATTAACTGTACCATCTTTTATAGAAAAATGGAAAGGATCTTTAGCTTATATAGGGAATCATCAAGTAGTTGCACATCTTCCATTTTATGAAATTAAAGGTGGGTTTCTTTCATTTACCTTTTGGAAAGCTGTTTATATTCAATTGTTAATGACGTGGAAATCTAGAGCAACCTTTTTTTTTGATTGTATTAGAACAAAACTTTATGGTAGACCTTTCATTAAATAATAAAATACAAATTAAAAATTAAAAATTATATATGTCAAAAATTTTTCAATTTGATTTCATAATATATATATATATATATGTATTTCTAATATTATGTGAAAAAAAAATATTTTATGTATTCATTTTTTTTTTTTTTTTTTTATATTTGTATAAAGTCCTTTAAACCCAATTTTAACTTTTCTTATAAAACTATAAATTTAAATTTATAAAAACATAAAAATACACATATACATATATGTATATATATTATAGATTAAAAAATATATTAAATTATAGAATAATTGAATAGAACATTAAAAAAAGATACATAAAAATGAGAAAAGAAAAGAAAAAAATAAAATAAAATAAAATAAATTATCCAAACAAAATTTCAAAATAAGAAACTTAAATATAAATTAAAACAAAATTTGTAATAAAGGTTTTTTTTTTTTTTTTTTTTTGTTGTTGTATTTGTTTTTTCTTTATAATATTTATCAATTTTAGCGAATTCTATAGTGTTTCTATAAGTATATATATTATTTTTAGAATATAAAAAAATAATAGATAAAAATAAATAATGCAAATCTAAATTAATAATTTATGATATATTTTATTTAAAGAATACAAATGTTAAATTTTTACTTAAATATGTTAAAAATAAATCTATGTACATATATATATATATATATATAATATAATATAAAAAAAGAGAGAAAATTATAAAATTATATTAAAATATAAGTAATTATATAAAATTTAATGTTGATAAATAAATATTCATGTGTGTAATAAAATAGATGTAAATCATTATACTAATATGTTTTTATTTAATAAAATTTACAAATGAAATATAAAGAAATATTTTTTCTAATACATCTTTAAAATTTTAATAATGATTTTCACGCATTTAAAAGATCCTTTTCAAATTGCTCCAATTCTTCTGCATTAAATTTGTTTGAATAAAAATCAAATTCTAAATCATCTCCAAAATTTATTTCATCAATATTTATATCACTTGATTTCAAAAAGTTATCAGAGTCATTTTTTATTTTATTTGACGATAAATCTATTAAATTGTCTACATTAAAATTTATATTTTCTTTTGTTTCTTCAATATTTTTGAAGTGAGTGGAATTATTTAAAATATCAAAATAAGAATTTTCTTTGCTCATATTTTCACTACTTACTTTTTCACTATTAACATTCATATTATTCATTGTATTTATACTGTTAATTTCATTGAGAAAATTATATGATTGTGTAACCTCATTTTCTTTTAATTCAAAATTAGATTTATCATTTTTTATAATAATACAATCAGATTTCAAACTGTTTTCACTATTTTTAAAGTCCTTATATATTTTATTACAATCCATATTGCTGGGAAATATATTATTTTCTTTACATGTATCATCCAACATGTTCTTATATGAATCTATATAACAATTTTCATATTCTTTTTGTGTTTCTTTCTTTTCATTAAATCCATATTTTTTCGTTCCTATATTTACAGAATTATTATTATCAGAAGTAAGTACATTTTCTATTTCATTTTTTGTACTATTTTTATAATTATTTTTAGTTTTTTTATTTGGATCACTTTCAATTAGAATACTTTCATTTTTACAACTAACAAAATTTGAAGTATTGTTATTTTCTTCATTCGTAATATTTTCACTTGGGTTGTTCGAATTTTTATCATTACATTCAAAATTAGAATATATATTTCCTTTTTCTTCGTTTATGTTATTATTAGAAGAAAAAGATTCATACGAATTATTTTGATAATCATTTTCATATTCTTTTTTGTTCGATTGGTTAATTTCTTCTAACAATTTTAAATTATATTCAGATATATCTAAAGGTGAATATAATTTATCTTTCATCTCATTTAAACTAATGTTATTATCGTCTTTTCCTTTTTTATAAGTACTATCATTTTGTTCAGTATTTCCTTTTAATTTTTTTTCAGAAATTATATAATTTTCATTTAACGTATTACTTTTTATTTTATTAGAAGAAAATAAAATATCTTCTTTTTTATCATTGTAATCAGAATTATTCAAAAATTTTGAAAACTTATTAGATTTTTCACTTAAATTAAAATAAATATCATTATCCATATATATATTTAAACCATTTATTTTTGCATTTTTTACATATTCTTCTTCATTGACTGATGTAGATATAAATTTCTCTGAAATGATGTTATCTTCTTTTGCTTCCATTAGATTCGTTTCTAAATTATTTTTTGTTATAATATCAATATTATAATTTTTTTTATTAGAATGAGAATTACTTTGTGAATAATCTGATATATTTAAACTGTTTAAGTTGTTTATATTAATTTCATTATTTATTTTACAAGTATTATTTATATCATTTTCAATTTTTGGATGTTGTTTATTGATTTCATTTTCAAAATTAAAATGTTTTTCTTCCTTAATATTATTTGTATAATTTACTTCATTTAAGCTATTTAATTTATCTTCTATTTTAAAATCATTTTTATCCTCTGATTTATTTTTCGTATGTTCGCAATTCAAATTATTCAAGGTATTTTCATTTATTGAATGGTTATTTTTTTGATCCTCTAATTTATTTCCTATTCTACTTGATGTGTATTCAGATTCATAACTCATTAAAATATTTTTTTTATTTTCATATATTTCATCAGCAATTTCATTATATATTATATCTATATTAAAAAAATAAGATTTCCAAAAATCTATTTCAGACATATAAGAAGGAACTAAAAAACTTTTAGTAGTTATTAAATTTTCATCTTCTTGCATTATTTTTTCACTCTGTTCTTTTTTTTTTATCCAATTAAAATTATAATTTTCTAAAATATTAGTATTCAAAATTCTATTTCTGTCTAAATTTAATTTTAATATCTTTTCATATACTTCATTATTTAAATTATTATTTGGTAAATTAATAGGAAACCCTTCTTCATATTTCTTTCTATAAATTTTAGAAATCATAATATCTGCTTTTTTCCATGGTACAATTTTCGATAAATATAATTTCTTCTTATCTGAATCATCATTACTTAAATTATTTAACTTATCTTTATATATATCACCAACTATTTTTTTTATATTATTAAAACCATTTATAAATTTATTATTATAATATTGTAATTCACAAAAATCTTTATTTAGGTATTTATTATTTATTAAGTTTAATTTGTCATGTATGCTATCCTTTATTGTTTTATCTGATTCTCTCTCATTTAATTTACAACCTTTTTGTTTTCCATTATCTTTTGATATATTATTTATATTCAATTCTTGAAAAGTTGTATTCAAATCCTCTGCTTTTTTTTTTATTTGTTCACTTACTTCTTTCCATAAGGAATACATATTTATAAATAGAAATTTCTTCTCTCTTTTGTATAAAAAAAAAAAAAAAAAAAAAAAATTAAAAAAAAATGAATTATATATTGAATATTTAACAAAAAGATTAATTCTCTTTTTACTTTTAAAATTACTTACATAGAAAATAATTTTTCTTAATTATAATAAATATCTATAAAATCAATTAATACTATTTTTTCTAAATGACGTGTGTTAAAAAGGATATTCAATTATATTTATTTTTATATATATACTTTAAAATTTATTAAAATGATAAACAAATAAAAAGAAATAAAACAGTTTCATAAATGTTTTCAATTAATCTTCAAACTATAATAATATCCTCTTTCTTACATATATTTTAATATAAATTATTTTCACTATTTCAAAAAAAAAAAAAAAAAAAAAAAAAAAAAAAAAAAAAAAAAAAAAAAAAAAAAAAAAAA